AACACGGACTCAGTGAAAGACGACAGCGATGCAGTTTCAGCTGCTGTTTCCAGCCTGTCTTCCGCAGAATTAATTCATTATTTTGGTCTAACTTCCTCATTTGTTGCTGGATTTATTGCACAATCTCGCATTTCCTGCTCATGCTTCTCAGAGCACCTCTGCCTCACACCGGAGCGGACGCAGAGTGAAATGAGGTGGAAACAAACGACAGCAAACTGTGCTGAGGAACAGCGTGCAGTGTAAATTGGGGTAAATTGACTCAGACTACAAGGCTGTGATGGGCGACTGTGGCTGAGCGGTTAGGGGAGTCGTCCTCCAATGAGAGAGTTTGGTGTTAGATTCCCCTACTATTCAGTCACATATTTAAATGTCCTTGAGCATGATACTGCCCCCCCCCACACCTCTGATGTGTGTCCAATCAGTATGAATGTGATTTCAGTGCTGATTTGTCTCCATAGAYTGCTCTTATTTGTAGAGAGACATAGTATTGTGCTGCAGAAATGTTTATTTTAAACTTTATTCATTTCTTAAAAGCAAAATTCTATGTACAATAAAAGAAAAGAAAATATAAATACAATGAAATGAAAGGCAGCAGATAGAAGAAAAAAATATTATGGTATCTMTTCCTTTTTTCCTCAAGTATAAATTCAAACAATAGTAATCTTCAATTAACAAAACAAAGCAAAATTCTTCCTAGAACAACCATTTTTATGGATACACATGATACTATTTCATATTTTTTTCTAACCTTTATCATTCTCTTAAACGTTCATTGATTTGGTACTTTWAACATCATTTCCCAGATCAATCCACAGTCTCACTCCTTGGATTGAGGTGCACCGTTCTTTCAAACTGGTTCTAAATTTAGGTTTCAAGAACATCTCTGTCCCCTTAAGATTATAACAGCTCTCTCTCTCTCTCTTTGTAAAGTTTTTCTGGGTGTTTAAAGATAATGTGTTTTGCTGCGCCATGTATTTAATTAACAAAATGTTATAATCAACCAAATTAATAACTTCAATTGACAAAATAATATATTAGATGGATAATGGTAGTGTTTTCAAGTGATAACTCTTACAGCTSTTTTCTGCAAAACAAAAACAGGATGTGTAATTTTCTTACATGTTTTACCCCATACCTCAACACAATAGACCAAGTGTGGAACAATTAATGCGTTATATAACACATACAGAACTTTATCATTAAACAAGTCCCTTACTTTGTAAAGCAATGCAATAGATTTGAATCTGAATCTATGTAAAATACAATAAAACCTCAAGACTATCAAGGCATTCAAGGCATTCTGGAGCTAGTGTGCTGCCCAGTGTTAGAAAGCTTAGTCTCAGTTTCAGGCCCTGGGTTCTCCAATACATATATATAGTTATTAATATATAATTAATAATATTTCTGTATTGTATAGTCAGTCATACACTTAGTTCTTATCAGTGTTTAAAAGAGGATGTGTTAAAACACTGTTTAGTCAAAGTTAAACATGAAATGTAAAAGTTCATTACAACTGGCCCTTCAAGGGCCACCATAACACTCATGTGAAAATGAGTTTGACACCCCTGCTCTATACCATGTGTCAGAAACAGATCAAGAGTGTGATGAAGGGAGTGAGTAGATCTGTGGACATTTTGAGTAAAACCAATTGACACAATTAGATTACTAAAAGCTATATGTATTATTCATCAACTCTAAATGGAATATCAACAGTTGTTTGTCTCTTTGTAAATATCATATAATTGGTTTTATCCAAGTTTAGTGATAATTTATTAAGTTTAAACCAGTTTTGTGTTTTCACAAATTCTGTTTGCTTTTTCTCTAACATCCGTTCTATGTCTTTACCCGAACAAATAAAAGTAGTATCATTTGCAAATAAAACACATTTATTGACCAAATTATTCACATATAAGATAAACAACTTTGGTCTGAGTACAGAACCTTGAGGAACCCCACATGTAATTTTACAGAGTTCAGATCTTATGTACTTGTACAAACTGTTTCCTATCTTCCAAAGAACTAGATATCCATTGTAATGCTGGTTCTCTAATCCCATTTTTATTTAGTTTTTCAAGGAGAATGCTGTGGTCTATCTTCAAATCAACTTAAATACTAACGCAATATTGTTTTTGATCCGTATCAGTTATTTGTTCTATAAGAGCCATTGATGTAGAGTTATTGGTTCTAAATCCATAGACTACTACTTAAAGTATTATTTTTATCAATAAATTGATCCAATCTGATCACAAATAACTTCTCCAAGAATTTATTTGTAAATGAGAGCAGAGGCAGCTTTAAAAGTATAGTCCATGTACCATTTCCTGGTTGCTGCAGGTGTGTCAAGGGATTTGGATGGTAAACCCTGCACCTTTAGCAGCTGCAAGCAAAACAGAGTTCAGCTCAAAGAGCAGTTTGAATCACAAACTGAGCTGAAGAAACCATCACACTCTGACTGAATGAGGCTCTGTCTGTGTGTGGGTAGGGACAGAATGTGACTGCAGCTCTCTGATTGGCTGCCACGCTGTGTAGGCGGGAGCTGGAATGAGGCTGCAGCCAAACAGAGAGCAGAACGAGTACGTGGGAGACTGAGTCAACATGAAAACCAAACATCTCAAACAGATTCTGACCGAAGTCAACATCTGGATATCCAGGGTGGACTACCTGAACTAAAATCAGCCAATCAGGCACAGCGGGAGAACAGGTGCCTCTAACAGAAGACAATCGTTGATGAGGACTTCAGCGAGGGACAATGAAGACTTGACGACACTGTCGGCTTCTTTAATACAAATTTGAAAGGTCTGCTTTGATCTGCTTGGACAGCTCTGATTGTACATCCTGTAGCTGAGCTCTGATTGGACAGTTGTCTGGAAGATGTGTGAAGATGTTTGTTAGTGCCAAGAAGAAGAAGCAGTCATCCTCTCAGCTCACTGACTCCGCCCCTCCTCCCTGTTCTCAGCGCCGCCCACCTTCAACCCCACCCGTCCCTCTCAGGTCTCTGCAGCTCGTTGCTAAACAACCACAGACACCTGTAGTGCTGAGGAAGCCCAGAAAGGTCAAAGATCATGGCTCAGGTGTCAGAGAGTCTTGGCCCGGCACTGTAACGAGGTCGCCTCAAAGATCTCTGACCCCGCCTTCCAGATCGCAGCCAATCGTAAAGGCTGACCAACCACATCCAGGCATTGTCTCATTACCTCCTCTGCTGCAGTTCCAGAATCCTCTGCTCTCTGCCGCTTCACGTTATTGGTCAGTTCCAGCTTTAGCTCCACCTACTGGGCGGGGCTCAGAATCTACCATGATGTCACTGCTGCAGTTCTGCCACAGGTAACTGTAGAATAGGTGGTGCAAGTAATCATTCATTTGCCTCAAGATGGGCAGGTCAGACTACAATGGGCTTACTGATCATTTCATGATAAATACAGATGCAGGTAAATGTGTTTATACCACTGTGTTGAAGAAAGAAAAACCCATGTTAGTCAATGAAAAACTTGATTCTGACAACAGTAATAATAAGAAAAATAAAAATTAACTTGTAAAAATCAGTCATTACTTTTGAATTTTGGTTCATCAGAATTCATAAACAAGACCTGATGAAACAAAAAGATTGAAAAGTAGATACTGTAGCAGTAGCACATTTGACTCTGTTGGACTTTTAATCGGTGTAGGTTGGAWAGGACAACAACTGTGCAAAATGTCATCAAGATCTGATCATGTTTATGGATGTACAGGCTTGAGAGAACAATTTTCAGTCATGTGATTTGATTCTTTTGCCTACTGTTAGGTGGCAGCCGCTTAGAAATACTGATGTCATGAAATGATAGCCTTTCATCAGAGCTAAACAACAAAAATCTAAAGTTCGTATGTTGAGCTAGTGCTCCCACCTGAAATATGGGGTCCATCGCTAAAACCATTTGACAGCATTGTGAAGGTCGGCCACATCTATATTCTTACAAAATTTCATGCTGTTAGGTGCAGCCATTCCTGAGTTATGGTTGACCAATAATAGTAATAATAATAATAATAACTAGACATGGGTTTTTACGATGTAAAAACAAGTGTGCATTGCCATGTAGCATATCATTGCAGCATGGCTTTGCCTGCAGCAATGGACTTGCAGAATGAACTGTGACCAAGTACAAATGTGTTTTCTACACCAGCTTGTGCCTGTCAAGTCAGCAGGTGTTTGTAATAAGGGTAATTGTGTGACAATATGAAGTTTGTAGAGATTTTCTGTTAAAGTTGTTTTAGCTGGGTTTTGAACCCTGTTCTCCCAGATGAAAGTCCATGACATTGAGGATTAGACCATTGGAGCTGTGGCCAAGGGTGGTGCCAGGGGTTGGTTTGTATGTGTGCAGAAAGAGGCCACATTGCCAATACAATTATTGACACTAAACTGCATAATATTACAACAATAGAGCAGTATTAAGACAACATAATAGTAAAACATCAAAATACAATCATATTAGTATTGTAACCACTGAACTATTGAGATCAAATATTATTAAACTATGGTTCAGTACTGAGTAGATACAGCAGGGGGGCAGTATTGGACCAATACAAGGCTGTATTGACTCCCATTATAAATTATTAAACATTAATAATTGAAAAATTATAAGTTTTACAGGCACCAAAAGGCATAGCCATCATTTGGCACAGGAGCTTTACAGATATAAATTACAATGGCAGCTCTAGGATAAAGTATGCAGGAGGAGAAGCGTGCCAAAGTGGAGATAACGGATGGGAAATGAATCACAATATGTGCATTGCATTGGCAATGCACACTGATAACTGTACAAAAATGATAAAAAACTGAATATTTTGTAAGATGTCTCCTCTATTTAGCATTACAGGTGTCTTCAAGCTTGTAATCTATCAGTCTGCCTATTTTAAATGGTGAAAAGTATCATGGTGTGCACCACACCATGTGCTCCATACAATGGCAATAAAGGCATCGTCATCATCATCACACTAAACATGGAGCACAGACAGCTCAGGACAGGGTTGTCTCAGGAGCTTATCAACTAACATGTAAAGACTACAAGACCATCTCCAGCAAGCTGATGTTCTTGTGACTACAGCTGCACATATTATTTAAAGTTAAATGTACTCAGGACATGTCCACAAGAATAAAACAGATGACAAATTTAAAAAGAGGGATGACCAAAGGCCTCAGAGCAACTTCCAAAAATGATTAAAGGTCAGATCACATCATCAATCACTGCTTGAGCCACGATGGAGGCAAAGAAGACAACCCAGGAGAACACCCCTGTTGATATTTTGTTCAGAAATGAAAAAATGAGAATGAAATGAACTAAAATGCATTTTGAGAAGCCATAAAGCTTGTGTCCTTTGAACATTTGAGACAAAACTAGAGTTTTTTGGTATCAGGTCTTCATGGACACTAAAATAAAATGTTCAAATCAAAGAGTTTTTTACCATCAGTAAAACATGGAGGTGTCCTGGTTATGTTCCGAGGCTGATTTGCTGCACCTGAATCTATGTAGAGTACTACAAAACCTCAAGACTATCAAGGCATTCTGGAGCTAGTGTGCTGCCCAGTGTCAGAAAGCTTAGTCTCAGTTTCAGGCCATGGGTCCTCCAATAAT